CCCGAGAAGCAATACGTGCACTCTCTGGTTACCCTCCCATATTCTCTGCTGTATTGCTTGGCCCGTGCCGCGGTTGACCCACCTGGAGATCTTTTGGTCAATATTTTCCGGGGCTTACATACATGTAAAGAAAAAATTACTATCTGGAGAATGGGAACACAGCTTAGCTGCACGCGGATTTATTGAATTGTTAGAGTGTTTGCGCGTCGTGTTGGTACTAGACGCAGCAATATTGTTCAAACACCTTCCTGCTAGAATACGCCAGCACAAAATTTTTAATGACCGTTTTCAGAATTATCTCACATTGCATTCAAACGCTCTTCAGACAGCAGAACATCCGATGGAAGCTCAACTTTAAGTAGCCATGCTGTTATAATCAGAACAAATACGGACACTCACGCTACATTAATGGATAAAGCAGAAAAAAGACAAAACGAGCTGATCAGTGTTGTTCAGAAGATGCAAGGACAGCTTAGCTCAGTACTTCATGGTGAGGTCGCCTATCGTTTGCTACCAGTCCAAAATAACAACAACGAAGCGAACAACCAATTATCAGTTCAAATTACTCCAGTCAACACAAACGCACCAGTCATGACCCATCTGCAGGCGTCTACAAATACTATTGAAAGCCCTCCTCATTATTCGATGAGCCGTAGCGTATCTACTGTACACCAGCTATAGACTGAGTGGTACGAGGGATTAGTGAACCTGCCTTCTATTGAATCAGTAGAACGAAAATACGGTACAACATGGCCTTCATCCACAAAAAGTCAAATCAATTTCGCCGCGCTTATTTGTCATTGTCAACAAATAAAAAGGTGTCTTATACGCGGTCGTTTCTGCCTTTATAAGACTGATAATGAGCGCGGGTTTGGACGTATCGACGCACGCTCTAAGTGGTTACGCAGTGCAGACTACGTTTGTCGTAGTTATTTTTCATTTCAATTGAATGCACTACATCACATTCATCACCTCAGCGTTTATAAGGTTTCAGCTTGTAGGTGCTACAGTATACGCATTACATGAAGTAATTTCTATCCATGATCGTGCTGATAGTAGCTGTTCTCTTCCAGCTGCGTATGTACCAATTTGTAGGGCTCCCGTCGCGCGATAGTAAGTCTTGAGACGGAAATTCTGAGCGGGTCGCA